ATATTTTACCTTGTGCAACATCTGTCAAAGGCGTGACATTCATATGCTTCATATTTTGGAAAATCATTCATGATTTTTTGGTAGGCTTGCCCTTTTTACCCTTTGAGTTATCAAAGTAACTGAATTGTAGCATCTGATTTCTCCTCATGATTTCACCATGGTCACGAGAATAAAGGAACCCCCCTGGATGGGATGCTGGTCCATCGCAAGGTTACCCCCTAGCATTACATCAAACTTTCCTAACAGCTCACTAATACCCATTTCTACTCCTGGGTGGAGAGATGCATTGTGGGGGTAAAAGTGTTTTGCCCGAGAACACAAAACCTCTTGGCCTCACGACCTGCTGGAGTCCAGCTTACTAACTGTTAGGTCATCACATATCCCAGAGATGACTTGTGGTAAAGTAAGGAAATAGGATTATACAATTTTGTTGTATCTTTTAAAAAACACCTTTCTTTTTTCCTTCTAGACTGACATTTGTACAGATCCCTTGGAAATATTTAACTACATGCACAGCCAGCAGTTGGGCAATGGATTGGCTCTTTTCTATGAAGCATGGGCCCTGATTCTTGAAAACCTTGGAGATCATAATAAAGCTGATGAAGTACTAAACTTAGGAATTCACCGGAGTGCTCAACCATTGGAAAGACTTCAAAAACAACACAAGTAAGTCAAAGCAGGCTAATTTCTTGTGAATAAAGATGTTGTGGTTTAGTTCCTTAACTAGCATAGATTCCAAGTTGCAGTGTGTCTGTCCAGTTATAGATCACAGATGACATCAAGATGCGGTAAGAACACAAAAGTGGCTCACAAGACAATGGCAAATGTGTCACTGATGTCCTTACCACATTTTGATGTTTCGTTTGTGATCTGCCATTGTATGGACCCCACGGCAACAAACAATCAATTTTTTTTTTCAGAAGCTTATGACCTAGAAGTGTCTTAATTCCCCTGAATTGTGCTTCTATGTCACAAGCTTCTGGTTTTATGTGATACAAGAACAAAAATGTTGTTAATGGGGATGTCATCTATGTGTATCTGCCTATTAGCCTGCAATGCAGGCGGATTTTGGCAGGGCGAGGAGATGTTCAGGCCCCCATCTTGAATTAGAAAAACAGTGGAGAGTTGGGTGAGGTAAAATGTTTGGGGAGGGGAGGAGGGGAAAGAAAGAAAAAAACCTTTCCCCTCCCCCTCCCCTCTCTCCTTCCCCAAACGTTTTACCTCGCCCCAACTCTCCACTGTTTTTCTAATTAAAGATGGCGGCCTGAACAAATGAATTTTCAGTTCAACTTGGAAAAGTTTTTAGGACTATGAAGAGGGAGTATCACTTATTGGTGATGAACTAACATCTCAGTTAGGAAAGGGTTGTAAATAATTTGTTGTACTTCTAGTCACTTCACACTTTAACCATTTCACTCCCAAGATCTTGTTAGTAATTCCCCTCACAGTTCTTATAATGATACAAGTTAGTAGAATTTGATATTGGATCAACCAATAATCCCCTAATTGATATTTTTCTTTCTTCCCATCACTTGTCTTCTTGATATTGTATTGATAATTATCATAAGGAGAAAATCTGTCTCAATTGAGCTAACCGCCTCCTGGTTAGCTCAGTTGGTTAGAGTGCTGGACTGTTGTGCGGGAGGTCGAGGTTGATGGTTCGAGCCCCAGCCGGACCAACACTCAAGATCTTGAAATAACTGAGGAGAATGCACTACCTTTCTACGATATCAACGAATGGATAGACATTCTAGTCTTCTCGGATAAGGACGAATAAACCGTAGGTCCCGTCCTGCATCTATTAATTGGTTAATTTGGTTAAGCAGGGGACGTTAAAGAACCCACTCTTGAGATTACTGTGATGTGGTCTGGCCTGTTTACTGG